TGTGTCAAAGGACAAATTCCACTGGAGCTGGTGCATACGGTACAGCTCATTCACAAGGAGGATGTGAAGGATAGGATGGTCTCCATTTAGTTACTGCAGTGCTTTTCCCCATATTTTCTTTCAGTTTGAATGGGAATAAATAGTAAGAGATGATGCATTTGGGAGAGAGTCCCAGGGGCCAAGTAGCAGAGACATTTTAAGAGGAAGAGATAACGTGGAAGAGTAACAAGACTGTGTTATTCCTCTGACTATCATTTCCAAGTCCAAGGCCCCAGTGCTGAGTGTCCTCATCACCAGTGGATGGGGCAGCAGGGACCGAGTGGTGGGAAGAAGGGATGCACCCAGATGGCCCCAGCACCAACCCCCCCAGCACCTCAGGGCTCTGCTGACTGTGTCCTGGGTCACCAACCCCTTCCCTGCACTCAGCTGGAAGGGAGAAGTCCACCCTTTCAGCACAGAAAAGCAGAAGCTGCTCAGCTCTGGCCAATTTGCTGTCTGACAGGCATCTTCATTCTTCCACATGAAGCTGAGAACTGCTAAACATTTCATGGCAGTTTGAGCACAATCAGGAACATTCAAAGAATAAGGAAAATCACAGTATAGGTCCAGGGAGAAAAGTCCTGATCCTAGAACCCAGATTTTTCAAAAGTTTCCTTCTCAAAAGGAGTCAGGAGAGAGGGGGGACAAGGAGAGAAAAGAGAAAATAAGTAAATAAATGGATGTGAACCTGCCCATACTGATTCTCTCCTAGATTCAGTCTGAACAAAAAACTTGTTGAATACAGTGTAATATAATAAAGTGTTTTCAATGTTCAATAAGTCTATATCCCTAAAGTTTTTAGGGCTCCTTTGGGTCCAAATTTTGGCTTTAATCTAATCCAGCTTTTAGACAAACATACCTTCCTCTTTGGAAGAGATCCATCTTGCTGCCTAGTTTACCTTCATACCTGTCCAGGACTCTCCATATCTTGCCCCCCTCTCTTTCACCAGTAGGTGAGTTAACTAAGTAATTCAGATGGCAACTGTGAGCCCCAAACTGTGCAAGAGACAACTGCTCTGCAGAGGCTTCTCTCTTCAACAGTGTCTTTATTGCTAGACACAGACAGACAGACAAGTTTGTCTTAGTTAAAGGTTCTGATGGGACCCCTCCACTGCAGGGCTCCTCAAAGTATTTTCTTCCACGTTCAAGACAATAAGAACCTCAGGATAAGGATCATCTTTTTGTTCTAGCGCATCAAAGTACCTAGTGCCTGATGATTTTTGATGGATTTATTCTTATGATGTGCAATATTTCTGTGAGGTAGACAAAGGCCATTTTCCTTTCTTACAACTGGAAAAAAATTCAAAAGATATGGAAAAGAAATGATCTCCACTGAGGAGTATTCAGAAAAATCTGTAATGTCAGAGGGAATATTGCCAACATTATCCATAGCAGTTAATCAGCAAAGGTCTTTAGTTTCATTTTTCCAAGTGAATTACTGTGCAAGTTATCTCTGTACTATGTCCCCATAGAAAAAATAATAGATTTTAGTAGCCATTTTGAAAATAAGCAATAAAGAAAGGCAAGATATCCACTTTTTAAAATAATTCAGCCCTTGAGTATTTTATGCAAAAAGAAAAAGAGGGCCACATTTACAGGAATAATGTCCAGTTTTAAATATTGGGTTTCTTTAGTTCTGGAACGCATATTCACTGATAAACAGAACAGAAAATGCATGTAACTCAGGGTTGAACTTTTGTAAAAGAAGATATATCATTCAGGATCATATTGTTTACCTTAACAGTTAATATTTATACTATGCTCCATTGCTGTTATCAAAATACCTTTGCTTTTAAGTTGAAGGTCAAATCTTGCAACTGAGATCACTGTTGTCACCAACAGAAACAACTTTTGGCTCCTGAGATACAAATAACCAAGCAAATACTGCAAATATTCACCTAATGAAACAAGAACCATGTAAAGAGTGGGGGGCTCACTCTCCTGTTTTATATTAGGCCAATCATGAGTGCAAATCTGGGCACCAGCTGGGTGCAAATGCAGGGCTCACATATGTTTTTAGTCTTCAAGTCTAAGCAGACCCATGCCTTGTGAGCTAATTTTGCTCAAAAATGCCAAAAAACCCCAGCAAAACAATTCAGTGTACACAGTCAGGATCGAATCGTGCCTTAAGCCAACATGACACACAAATTTGTACAGTTCTGAAGTTTGCAGGAAGGATAAATCAGAGCACTTTTTTACCATTGAATATTCAGAATTGCATCCAATTTAATAGATTTTGAAGCAGGCATCTAGAAACTTAACCTGGCTGACCAGCTTTAACCAAAATATATTTTTTATGGCATAAAGAGTTAGAAGAGGATATTACTGCAGAAGATTTATGTTTTCATGGGAATCCTAATCAGTCTTTAAAATCATTTCACTTCTTTTAAGCTAAATGCTATTTTTTTCACACAATTATGTTTCTTTAAAAAGGGCAGGAGAAACCAGATACCTACTGTAGTTTGGAAAAAGACCAGGCTGGGCAGAACCAGAAATCCACTTTAAGAAGTTTACAGCTGGAATTCTATATACACACAATAAGATATTTACGAGTATATTAAAAGACCCAAGGATTAAACTATAAAAGTATTTTTAACGGCCTTGACCAAAGGAGACATTCATATGTCTTCGACCAAAAGCCGCATGTACCTGTGAT